TTTTGAGATCCCCTTCATATCAGAGTACCCCTTTCACATGGGAAGGCCCCCCTTCCCATAAATAGCCCCCTTCCTATCAGAATCGCCCCTTTTACATTAGAGTCCCTCCTTTCCATCAGAAGCCCCTTCACATCAGAGTGCTCAGTCCTTCTTTAACATATGTGTCCTAGGGCGTGGCCAGCAGCCTCATGCAGTCCGGTGTGTGCCGAGGAGCTCTCTCGCCATTGATCCTGATATTAACCTGTCAGGCTTCCCTACCTTTCCCTCACTGGCTTGTTGCTTTGGTGCCACAGACACCCACGGCCTTCTCTCTGAGTCGCGGGACTCCATTCTGCTCCGGGGCGATGTCCAAGAAGAAGATGAGGCCACCGTAAATGTGAGTACTGCTCCTAAAGCCACCAAGGGCCCCAAACCACCTAAGGCCAAGTCCAAATCGGCTGAACCCACCATTGTGGATGTCTTTTCGGCTGTGCAGCTATGCAATACCGCACTGTCCTCCATAACAGACTAGGTCCAGGGGATGAGAGCAGACATCTCCTTTATACGCCATGATCTGCAGAAAGTACGGGAATGCACATCTGCCCTGGAAGGTAGAGTTAGTGATCTGGAAGATTCTACATCCCCTTTGATCACTGATGTCAAACAGGCACCGCATAATATATCTAGGAACACCCTGAAAGCAAATGACTGAAAACCGGTTACGCCGCAATAACATCCGTGCTGTCGGCATGCAAGAGCGTGCTGAAGGTGCCAATGCCACTGATTCTTTTTAAACTTGGCTGTGTGAGGTCTTTGGAAAGGAATATTTGTCCCCCTTATTTGCTGTGGAAAGGGCTCATAGAGTTCCATCTCGACCTCTCCTACATGGAAACCCCCCTAGACCCTTGCTGATCCGGCTTCTCAATTATTGTGACAAGGTTCTGTCAATACTCTGCTGGAGGAGGAATCTGTTTTTTGCCAAGCAGGTCTTTTGGATGGAAGGGGACGCGGTAGGCAAACTCCTGGCTCAGATAGCTAGAGCTCAACAACCTCCTACTTACATTGGTGCTTTCTCTATCTCTGTCCCATTTCAGATGACACCTGGGAAGATGTTCTTCAAGGGGTTACTCAGGTTTCACTGTCCCCTACTCACAGATTGACACAATTGTTTATTATCCATAGAATATATCGTAACCCTGAATTTTTATTTCGTATCGGGCTTGGGGCTGACTCTCATTGTCCCAAATGCAGTTTCCATCGTGGCTGCCTGATTCATATGCTCTGGAGATGCCATAACCTGGTACGGTACTGGGATAAGGTTCTAAATACTCTTAATCTTGTGTTCGCCTCCTCCCTACTCAATTCCCTATTGGTGTGCATTCTTGGTGTCATTGAAGCTACCGACCTAACCTATCACACATTTTTGGCCCTTAAACGTGCTTTATTTACCGCCTCCAGGCTAGTGGTTTGCAGATGGATCTCTTCCTCCCCTTCCACTTTGAATCTATGGCTTGTGGAACTTTATAAGATAGTCGCATATGAACGTGTTACTTTTCAACAGAGGGGTGTCTTGCTCCAATTCAACTCTCTATGGGACAGATGGTTGACATACTGTGGTACTGCCATCCCTGACTATGTGGACAGCGAGCTCGCCTATTATTGCCCCCTACGGTCTATTTTCTTAATATGTAACAATCTAGTTGCGTTTGGAGGTGTTGGCTATTCATATTGTATTCTGTGTGTGATATTTCTGCATTGATCAAAATGTGGCTATCATTCAATGGGCCTTGCCGTTTGTTAGTGGCCCATTATTTGTTGAATTTTGTTCTGTTTGTGTTCTTTTTTTTTTTCATTCCTTTTTTTTGTATTTGAAACTAAGCAACATCAGTTAAAAAACTATCTGATTTAAAACATATGTGTCCTATCTTCACCACAATACAGCTGCTGCTGAATGCTGGGTAGGTCCTGGGTGCAGCCCAACCTGCAGTATTGTCATACTTTTCCATGATGCTGGTGGACCCTGCAAATCAGGAGCCCCCTTCACATCAGTGTCCCATTTTATAATCTTCACTAAAGTGTGGCCCCTTCATATCAAGTTATCATCAGGTGTTTCCTTGGTGCTGGTGCAAAGAAAGGCATGACACTGTATGAAAATTTGAAGGCACCCCTTAAAAACCAAAAGGCACCCTGGTTGAGGCTGATCTACACTATGTTTTTTGGAATGTTGCATCCAATGTTTATTCTGTAATTATATGATCCACCATCTGCACTCTCACAGTCCACAGTATATAATGCAAAAATGAGGCCTACATTCACACTTGCGCATAAGCACGTTGAGGTGATTTTGAGGGTTTTTGGGTTTTGTTTGTGCATTTTTAAGCCCTTTAAAAGCTTTAAGGTTTTAGCAAAGGGAAAGCTTGTTACTAAGAGGGGGAGACAGATGTTAGGTGCACAATTGGCTGGAAAACATGTGTGCCACGTTTTTAAGAGAAGTCACTAGTACTCGATAAATGTGAAATAGTCAGCTTGCATTTATTCACAATGCCTCACATGAAATGCATAATCCAATATTTTGGGGCCATGCAGGGTCACTTCCTCAGGGTAGCATAGTGACAAATTGTACATTTGCATGCCAGCTATATACTGTATGAAGAAAAAACACTCAGTTCCTATCACCCCCTCTGATGTCATTATGATGTCATATTCCCACCAAAAGAATGTAAAAAATATGTGGGGAAAACATTCAATGAAGAAAAAGCGTGCTAATGTGTATTGTCATAAGAGTGACCCCTCTGCATGCAGATGCAGAATTAAAGTAATGAATGTGCTGCGCTTCAACTAGAACAATAAATAAATACACAATCTCTATAATAAATATGTGCTAAACAATACAATACAATGCTCACAATTGCTATCCTTGTAAATATCAATCCTAAATAATATCTCTTTAATCATATACTGTATTTCGTGTTCAGATGTGCACAAATGTGGAATTACATGTATAAAGTGCTCAAGATTTGTCCCAAGTGCACCACACTCTTTATCCTTCAACAGTGAAAGTTGTTTATACAAAGTCCATACACCAATTCCAATTATCACCCAGGTGCTCACCCCTCTTAGTGGGCCACTCACCTTATAAGTAGACGTAGGCAGGTCTAAAATCGCTTGATAGGATCTCAAATCGATCTTATTCAAAGGCTGTCTCTCCACAATTGTTACACAGAAAATGACTTCAGCATGTTATCATGAACATAACCAATAAAATATAAAAACAGCCCATAGCGTAAAACCGTAAAATTAAAAAAACTCCTTTATTTAAAAAACTACTCGCATAAGGAAAGTTGACATAAAATCTCAAGTAAAATGTATGCCCGACAACTCTCTCTCCGTTTTACTGTATTCTCTGGGTGCAAAAACGGATCAAACAGGAGCTGTGCTGCCAACCACGTCTGCGAGACTCTGCCCTACGCGTTATGTCACACTGGCCACTGTAGGAGGCTGGTGACCAAGCTGCTTTGCCTAAAAGATATCAATAGGGGTAAGCAATCTCTCAAATCTTTTAGTCGGTGCTTAATCATGATCTGTTCCAATACTCAAAACTTTGAGAATTTCTGATAGTCCTGAATCTTGCCTGCCTGTTTCCGAAAAAGGTTAAATCCAGAAGTCCACCCCTCACAGATGACATAACTGGGAACAGCTCATAGCTTTGGGGTTTAAACCAAGGCGTGATACACATCTGCGAGGTCATGTGAGTGGGCAGGCCCCTAGTGTGCCCTGCTTTGTGCTCCCTATCATTAAACCATGTATTAATGTGAAGAAATGGAATGTGTCAGTAAATACAATAATGTTGTTTTAAAGAGAAACCCCATCTTTTCGAGCGAAAAAAAACACACACTTCTCCATAAAAGAAAAAATGTGCATTTCATATTATTCTGCATTGGAGTCAGTAAAGCACTGTGACTGCAATCAGTGGGTAGCGGGTGCAATGCTCTGGCTCCTGAAGACTATTCCTTCGGATATGGGTGTAACATGAAACATTGTCAGAAAGGTAATCTCTGCACTGCAAACACATTGCTACATGTATCGGTAAACCTTAACATGGTTGACAATTTTCTGGCTTACCCAAAGGGCAGTGTTAAAAGTAATTGTACCATGCAAAGTACACCAACCTGTAGAAACCATAAATCATCACTTGAGGACCGATTTACAGTAGGGTCCCCCCTTTTTCATTATTGTTATAATACAGGATTTATATAACACCTACAGTTTGTACAGCACAACATGGAGGGAAACTACAATTTCAATACAGGAGGATTAGGAGGACCCTGCTCATAAGAGCTTACAATCCAGTTGATAATTGTATAAATAAATATAAATATATAAATATTGATAAGGTCAAGAATGATTTACAGAAATCTCAAACATTGTTATCAGTCTTTGTACGTCGACTCCAGAAAATGTCCTCACTATGTTATGGAGGTGAGGAGAGGAGGAGGTGTTCAGTAGTCATAACACACTTCCTGTCCTAAGAAGACGGCTTCTTCATAGCTACAGTACATTGAGTCAGCGTTGTTACCCTAGGATAGGAAGTGTGTTACTGGCAGAAACACCAGCTGGAAATAAAGGGGAAAAAAAGCTTAATGCATCCACCACATCTAAGGACTGGTAAAATGCATTATATGAGAATGTTGTTCTTGGGTTTAGATATACTTTTACTTTACACATTAAAAGGAATCTTTTCCCTGCCTTTTTGAATAATCCCATATGTCTTAATTTAAGAAAATAAGGCAAGAAGTAAAATTATATCATTCACACATGAGTGAACAGAACATGAAAAACATCTGTATGCAATAATGGTCGACTCTTTTTGTTGTATCCATGGTGATTACCGTAAAAGGAAATGTTTCTTGCGTTACAGTTCTTTGCTTAAAGCAGGTATTTGTATTTTACAGAATGCAGCACTCTGCTGAATGTCATCACAGTGATAACTAATGCAAATCTGTCTTTTTCTTTTTCAACAGTAACTCAAGGACTTATTAATTTTCACAAGGAACGCTTTTGTTTAACTCCAGAATGCATTGAAGCTGGTAAGATTGAACAGAATATATATCTGCCTTTTGATAAATGTGAACTACTGCAATTCTTTAATCTCCTGTGTGACTTTTATGGATATTTGATAGTTTAAAAGAAGCAATTCTTCTATAAGTTACTCTCTGTTTCTTCCTGTTCTTCAGACACAAAGCATTGTAAGCAGTGCTATTTCTTGGAATTTCAATTTTATTACTGATCATGCTGTTATAATAACCCATTAGTTTTAGAGAGACATCAGTAGAATATGGAATAAACCTTTACAGGAAACTTGCTGATAATGCTAAACAGTCATAGCAAATGTTGCTTTTTTGGAACATAATATATTTAAGAATAATTGGTAATGTATGACTAATATATGCATTTAAATGTAGCGTCCATAATATATGGCAGGTAACCAGTCCTTAGGCCCCATTCACACGGCACATTCTGGGATTCCTGTGGCAAGAACCTAAAGAATACTACGGCAGGAATCCCAGCAATTCCGTTTACATGCGCCCGCTGCACCCATTGAAATTAATGACCAGGTTACAGTGACAGGATAGATGTGTCCATTGACAATCATCTTTTCCGAACTGCATTTAATTGTATCATGCACGATTAGATGCGGACTGCCGCTGGCAGATTCAGCCGTTGTCACCCTGTCGTTAACTTCAATGGGTAAAGTGGTCCCATCTGAATGGGACACCTGGGATTTCTGCTGCAGGAATTCATAGATTCTTGCTGCAGGAAACCCAGAACGCCCCGTGTAAATGGGGCACAGATGTGGTGGCTGCATTAGTGAACTTTGTTTCAGGCTTTCTTTCTCTCTATTTTCTCCAGGTAATCCAGCAAAAAACAACTTCCTAGGGTGGCTACACTCACTTTTCCTCTTTATCAACCTGCCCCATGGTTGTCACTCTAGGGCAGGATTACAAACATGTCCTTATCTTTTCATCTCCATTACATGGTGGGGGGGATGTGGAGGGATAAGTAGTTTATAGAAGATTGCAAAATAAAAAATGAACATTGTTTACTTATCTGTTCAGTGCACAGGAAGTTACGAGAACACTGCATTTCTGGCAAGATCAACAGATGTTTTCTTTACTTGCTGAAAATGTTCTTGCCTGATTAATGAAAAGCAGCTGCCGCATCTGAGGTCTGGTAAACTGCAATATTCTACATTTTTCTTCTTGGATTTAGATATCCTTTAAAAATGCATGTAGTATTAGCACTCTTGCTCATGGCTGCTAGAGGGATGTACAGCACACATCCCATAATTTTTCTGTGGCCGGGTGTGACAGGTGCATCATACAGCAATAGCCAGCCGATACAAAATAAATGGCAAGCTGGCTGAAGCTATGACTATATGGGTATGTACAGTGAAGGACCTAAGGAACAAAGGGCCCTGGTGCGAGATTTTTTTTCCCCAACAGTGCCCCCCCTTCCTTCTCAGAAGCCCACCGCCCACTGAAGCCTGTCACTCCCCCACAGAAGCCCATCGCACTGGCTGCACTGGCTGCACTGGCGGTAGGTCTGCTCCTGGATCTCTATATATACTATGGAGAGTACAGCATACAGTAATCTCTATATGTAGACTGATCTCTATATACACACTGATCTACACACTGATCATTATATACACAATGGGGAGTGTAGCACACACTGATCTCTATATATACACTAATCTCTATATATAGACTGATCTCTATATATACACTGATCTCTATATACACAGTGATCTCTCTATATACCGATGCTGGTATTGATATTGGTGCATCACTATTTCAATTCTACACCCGTAGACACAACAGGGTGGAGCAAATCTCTCCAAGCGGAAAACCTCTTCAGCGGTCACTGGAACAAGTGACTACATTAGAAGATTTTCTTTCTGTTCCTGATCTTGAGACAACAATTTTGAAGACGCGCATTAACAAACCTATCAGCGGATCTAACCCATCAAAAGAAAACAAAAACGTTTTTGCTTTTGATGGACTAACCTCATTTAACCTCATTGCTGATGCAAAGTCACACTTTCTTTAGGTCATTTGGGCAGGGGGAGATTTGCAGATCAGACTTGCCTATTACTCTGCTGGATCCGACACTTTATTTTCTCCTGCTAAACACCTCCATGACAGCTCCTTCCTCTTCCTTATGGAAAGCATCTAAACTGCAGGATCCCAGGGTAAGCAGAGAGATTAGGGGGGTGTCTGCTTCACTCACTGCTTTGAGACTTTATCTTTCCTTTGGTATTTATTTTCTGGCAGCTGGCACAATCTCGGGCGATGAGAAGTCCCAGACACATAGTGGAGGTGGGAACGGGGAACTCTTCCATTGCAGGAGTCACAAAGCATATGTAAACTGTGTGCACTCTTTGTGGGCAGAGGTTAATAATCTGGTGACCAGGCTCAGCACAGACAAGGATAGAAGGGGTTAATGATCACTGCTACACAGGCCTTTATTTATGCCCGGAGTCTGGTGCTTACTTCTCCTCTCCCAGATAGCAAGGATAACTTGCTACAAACTTGTGGCGGGGTGAAATTGTAATTTTGTTAACTTGCTGCACACATTCCTGACAAGTTGTAGACTTGCAGAACACTTGCAGCACAAGTTCTAGTTGACACTTTTTGAATTTGTAGCAAATTTGCTTGGCAAGTCTACAGCAAGAGTCCTGCAGGTCTTAGCAAGAGCTCTGCAAGGTCGCTGGTCTGGAGACTTGCAATGCAGACTTGATGTAATTGTGCAACAAAATTGTGAAGCTTGGCAAGTCTGCAAGAGTTTAGCAAGTCATTTTCAAACTTGCAGCTCAATTGCTTGCTATCTGGGTCTGCTATTACTGCTGCTGCGGCTGGGCTCTCTCAAGAAAACTCTTCCCTCTCCAGGGGAGTCGCAGCAACTCCCCGCAGATCTTATTGTCCCACTGATGATTTATTTTGAGCTAGCTCACTGTGCGCGAGGGGAGGATTTTCTGCTGCAGCACAAAATTAACTTTTATCTACTTCATCCTTCCAAGTATTTTCTGCTATCAGCCCCCACCCCCCTAGCACTCTAAGGCAGCTGTCTATTCAGCCTTTTGCTAGCACCGGACCTGGGTGCCAGGGACCAGATCTCACTGCCCCCCACCCCCTGCCACAGGCCCTGGTGCAGCCGCACCGGCTGCAACGGCAGTAGTTCTGCCCCTGGGTATGTATGCAAATTACACTGCCTGTGTGCTGGGACTCTCTGCATTTGGGGCAGTGCTTAAGTGACAGTAAACATATAAGAAGTGGGATTTGGATATATATACATCCAGCGAACCCAATTTCTTAACTATCTGCTGTAGTATACATTCATATTCAGTGAATACATTGAGGCTCCTGTTTGCACTACACAATAAAATTGGAAATAATGCTTTTCTTGTGGCTATATGCAGATAATTTGCATTAGTAACTTTTATGTTTAAAGTCAACAATAAACAAGTCAAACAATAAATGATACAGACAGTCACAAGGATTAACAGTAACTTGCTACTGCCAGGGAACTCAGCTCACAACTACTTTTATGTTACCACCAATACCTCAGCTTGCCAGGCTGAATACAACATGTGAATCCTCAACCACAGGTCCATGCAGTGCTTCCGAGAAACCAGGAGTTTTATTAAAGAGCTTCCGTACTCAATGACCCTGATTTACTAAGGGAGTAGAGCAAACTTTCAAAGCAAATTTTCACTTTGTAAAATAATTTTCACTTACCTTAGTAAATGAGGTAAAACAAAATAAAAATTTACTTTCCAAAGAATACTTAATAATTTGCAAGGAACATTTTAAACCAATAGATTTTTGCTTCCAGTCACTACAACTACACCTTATTTACCAAACTAACTGAAAATTACTTTTGCAACGAGAAAATTAAATTTGTATAGAGAATCTCTTGACTTAGTGAATCAGGTGAAGTTGTGCTGCCTTTAATCATCCAATCAAGGCAGCCCAGCTGTAGCTACTCACTTTTTGATTGTCTCTCTATAAAGGTGGCCATACACTTTACAACCCTCACAAGACTTTTGTCTTGCGAGGGTTGTAAAGTACTTAAAAAAACATACGATCTGCCCATCTTGGACAGGCAGATCGTACTTGCGATCATCGCAAGCCCATCCCCCTGAGGGGCGGGCTTGCGATGACTGCAATGAGGGGCGGGCTTCCGATGACTGCAAACGGGCGCGTGCGCACACCGGCCCTTACGGCAGTTGTCGAACAAGCAGGCCACTAGCTCGTACGATTCTCGGCGGGTTTTCCAGCCTGCTTGTTCGACAGAAGTCGTGCGACCGTACAGTAGAAATGGTCCCACGCCTTCCATACACTGCACGATTATCGTACGATCGCGGGATTTCCCACGATTCTCGTACGAGAATTGTGCAGTGTATGGGCTCCTTACAACCATCGCAAGACTTTTGTCTTGCGATGGTTGTAAGGTCATTAAAAAAACGTATGATCTGCCCATATTGGACAGGCAGATCGTACTTGCGATCATCGCAGCTCTCCCCCCCGAGGGGCGTGCTTCCGATAACTGCAATGTTGAACAGGCAGTGTGCGCTTGCGCACACCGGCCCGTGCAGCATTTGTCTTACCAGCAGGCCACAAACCGTACGATTCTCGGCTGGTTTGAGCGCGCTCGTAAGACAAAAGACGTGCGACCGTACAGTAGAAACGGTTGCAGCCTTCCATACACCTGCCGATTATTGTACGATTGCGGGATTTCCCGCAATTATCGTACGATAATCGGCAGGTGTATGGGCACCTTAACTGATATTCCATATAAGACTGGGTTCTGAGAGGGGATGAAATTACACTATTCTTAAACTATCCCTATGGAAGTGAACCACTGCATACAGCTTGCAGTTGTCAGATTTCAGACCCTGGAAGAACCACTGATATACAAATGAGCTGATTTTCTCATCCAGAAGTGTTATTTGCCTGTGGAATCAGTGGGAACTATTTTGTGTCTGTATACACCTTAGCCAATGACAGCTATTACATGATAGGAA